TAAACAAAGGTGTATGTTACTTTGTAGAGTCATTTACAACAGCTTCGAACACGGCTCAGCCAATCAGAATCAAGCATACAGTTTTTGTCATGTAATCTGGAATGAGTAACGGATCAGAATGTTCAAGTAATCTATCAGCTCTGGTGCCAAAGCAGCTTCACGGTGATAAACAGGAAAATAAGAGTGTTAATGCTGCAGAATTCCTCAGTTATGAAGCAAACTCAGTTTCAGAGTCATCATGTTTATTGCGGTAGTGATGTTTTGATGATTTTATTGTGAACACATGGGACGGGAATGATGTGTGTGTGTGTGTGTGTGTCCAGCAGAGAGTGTACCGGGCGCTGTACGATTACGCCGCTCAGGATCACGACGAGGTTTCCTTCCGCGACGGAGACGTGATCGTTAACGCGCAGCCCATCGATGAGGGATGGCTGTTCGGCACGGTCCAGCGCACCGGAAGGTCCGGCATGCTTCCGGCGAACTACGTGCAGAGTTTGCACTGAGATCATCATCACACAATCACAGCAGTCTGAAGAGTTTGAGCAGACGTCTGCTAAAAGACAAGCGCTGATCATTAGATTCATATGGAAGCTTATTTCTGCAGAATAAATATATTAAAAAGGTGATTGATTTTTTTATTTATCTTGCATTTCTGCAACTGAAAGTTTAAATCTCAATTCAGACCTTCTCTCGTTATTTTACAGTTCAGACCTTCTCTCAGAATTGCAAGACATAAACATGCCAACTTCTGAGTTTTTATCTTGCAATTTGGACTTGTCTCAGAGTTGAGTAAAAAGTTTACATTGTGAGAAAAATGCCTACTTTTAATAGTTTTATTCTGTGGCAGAAACAAGCTGTTTTGTCCGATAGTGAATGGAGGAGGTTAATAATAATCAGTAACTGTGTCCTTGATAGCTGAATGAGGTTAGTTTCATCATCTTTCTTTTACTTTAATGTGTAATTGTTGCCCAGAGCAGCAGAGCTCAATGATCTGTTCTTCATCAGCGTTTATTATGCCATCATCACACATTACTAGCTGACTTCAGTCCCAGACTAGTTCTGAAATAAACTAGTAGCGATGTTAACTCGGGTTCGTTTACTAACCAATAACAGTTAGTTTAGCTTCTGGAGGCTGAACAGATTCGTGTTTGGTGAGAAGAACATACGCCTGCAGTTCAGATCTGCACAAAAGCCATGTGGCGTAGAAACCCATCATCTACTGTGTGCAGAACCCACTGTTCCTGATAGTTTGTGTTTAATGTGTTCACGTGCTTTGAAGAGGACTAGTGGTGAAATGCGGCCAGTTCTGAGCTGTTCTCTTGAGCTAGTCTGCTTTATTTACTTCAGTAGCATGTTGATCTGTCAGATCTTCAGAGGAGTACAGTACGTGATAAATGCATGACACTAGATGAATTATGAGCTAAACATCAGCAGGTTGTGAGTGTGATTGATGGTTTTATTTACTTTACTATAAACTCTCTCACTTATCGTCACTTTGATCTATTTACCCGCGTCACTGTCTTCTGTTAACGCTATTTACCTTGTAGAGTTTCGCAGTTATTGAATTGATAATCAATAAAAAGCTTTGTCCAGCATTTTGCCTTGTCGTTAGTCTGTGAGCGTGTGGCGCATGCGTGGAACTCCGCAGAAACCGACACGTGTCTCTGTGCGTGTGACGTCAGCGGCGGCGCATGCGCATTGTGAGCGTGAGCGACGCAGCTGCTGCGTAATCTTTTACGGTGACTTTTTTCTTAATGGTTTATACATGAGATGCAAATCCCATGCCTCCATTCCAGCAATCTGTTAAAAATGGTTTTAAACGAAATCCATCTCAGCGGTGCGAAAAGTAACAGGTATCAGGTGACCCTGATGTCCGTCTTCTGCCTCCGAAAAATACTTTACACCTGAATAATGACATAATGGGAGACTTTAAAATGTATCAAACTGAAAACACACAGAGAGGAGCTCAAATAAAATATTTAATCATTTAAGGCATTCGGAAGCCCCGCCCATTTTATTTCTACGGCGACACGTGTCTCTGCGTGTGACGTCAGCGGTGTCCCGGATGAGCGCAGGCGTCGTGAGGCGGTTCGTCAGCGTAAACTCGCTCAGCGCGTCAGGCGTGTTTCTCTCGCGTTTATTCTCAGTATTTTCTCATTTGATCCTCACTGTTGGAATCATGAAAGTGCTGCAGAAGCTGTCGTCAGCGTAAACTCGCTCAGCGCATCAGGCGTGTTTCTCTCGCGTTTATTCTCAGTATTTTCTCATTTGATCCTCACTGTTGGAATCATGAAAGTGCTGCAGAAGCTGCTGTTACTGCTCTTACTGGCGTTTCCAGCCACGCTGCTGCTGAAGGGTGAGTTTGACTGTTCGAGCAGGCCTCGATACATACTGTAGTAATCGATAAGAAGATCAGTCCGCTGTAACTCATCGATAATCCGCGCTCGTGTGAGTGAGTGAGTGTGTGTGTCTCTGTGTCTCTGAGTGTGTGAGAGAGTGAGTGTGTGTGTGAGTGAGTGAGAGAGTGAGTGTGTGTCTGAGTGTGAGTGTGTGAGAGAGTGAGTGTGTGAGAGTGAGTGAGTG